CTGATGAGGCACTTAAGAAAACAAGGAGTAGTGAGGTTAAGTGCTTCAAATGTTTGGGAAGAGGTCACATAGCTTCTCAATGTCCCACTAAGAAGACTATGTTACTTAAGGAGGATGGAGAAATAATTAGTGAATCTTCTTCGATTCTTCATCCGGTGATGAAAATGAGCATGAAGATGAAAGAGAGTTAGAAGGAGATTTGTTCATGATTAGAAGGATGTTGGGTAGTCAATCGGTTGAATTGGATGATTGTCAAAGAGAAAATATTTTTCATGCAAGGTGCCTCATTCAAGGGAAGTTGTGCTCTTTGATCATTGATGGTGGGAGTTGCACTAATGTGGCTAGTGCACGGTTGGTTTCAAAAATGAATTTGGAGACTAAGCCACACCCGCGACCTTACAAACTTCAATGGCTTAGTGAAGATGGTGAGATGACCGTGAATAGGCAAGTTGAAGTGGGTTTTTCCATAGGGAAATATGAAGATTCTGTTTTGTGTGATGTGGTGCCTATGGAGGCTTGTCATTTACTTCTTGGGAGACCATGACAGTATGATAGGAGAGTTATGCATGATGGTTTCACTAATAAGTTCTCTTTTATGCATAAAGACCGCAAAACTACTCTTGCACCTTTGGTTCCAAGAGAAGTTAGTGAGGATCAACTGAAAATGAGAAAGAAAAGAAAAGAAGAAAGAAAATAAAAAGAGAGAGAAAAGAGAAAAGAAAAAGAGAGTGAAAAGAAAAAGGAAAAAGAGGAAGAAAAAGAGAAAGAGAAAAAAAAAATCAAATATGTTTATAAAAGAAAAAGAAGTCAAAAGAGCTATGCAATTGAGAAAGCCAATACTTTTACTTTTGAGTAAAGAAAGTAAATCAAACAGTCCATGTTTTACTAACTCTCTTCCAAAAGAGGTTTCTTCTTTGTTGCAGGATTTTGAAGATGTTTTTCCCAAAGAAGTGCCTATAGGTCTACCCCCTCTTAGGGGTATTGAACATCAAATTGACCTTATTCCAGGAGCTTCATTGCCTAATAGACCAGCCTATCGAAGCAATCCCCAAGAAACCAAGGAGATTCAAAAGCAAGTTGAAGACTTAATGCAAAAGGGGTGGGTTAAAGAAAGCTTGAGTCCATGTACAGTCCCAGTCATTCTAGTCCCTAAGAAAGATGGAACTTGGAGGATGTGCACAGATTGTAGAGCTATCAATAACATCACGGTAAAGTATATACATCTCATTCCTATGTTAGATGACTTGTTGGATGAATTGTATGGTGCTTGTACCTTCTCTAAAATTGACTTGAAAAGTGAATATCATCAAATTAGAATTAGAGAAGGAGATGAGTGGAAAACAGCTTTTAAAACTAAATATGGGTTGTATGAGTGGCTAGTTATGCCCTTTGGGTTAACTAATGCTCCAAGCACTTTTATGAGATTGATGAATCATGTCTTGAAAGAGTTTTTAGGCAAATGTGTAGTGGTGTATTTTAATGATATTCTGATATATAGCACTAATTTTGATTTGCATGTTGAACATTTGCATGCTGTCATGAATGTGCTTAGAAAAGAAAAATTGTTTGCTAATCTTGAAAAATGTACCTTTTGCACTGATCATGTTGTGTTCTTGGGATTTGTTGTGAGTTCTAAAGGGATACAAGTTGATGAGGAAAAGATTAGAGCCATCCAAGAGTGGCCTACCCCTAAGAATGTGAGTGAAGTGAGAAATTTTCATGGGTTAGCTAGTTTCTATAGAAGGTTTGTTAAAGACTTTAGTACTTTGGCTGCTCCTCTTAATGAAATAGTAAAAAAACATGTTGGGTTTAAATGGGGTGAAAAACAAGAAAAGACATTTTCTGAACTTAAGCACAAACTATCTAATGCCCCCCCTCCTTGCATTACCAAATTTTGCAAAATCTTTTGAAATTGAATGTGATGCATCTAATGTGGGTATTGGGGCTGTTTTGCTACAAGAAGGTCATCCAATTGTTTATTTTAGTGAGAAGTTGAATGGGGGTGCCCTAAACTATCCCACCTATGATAAGGAATTGTATGCCTTAGTGCGTGCTTTACAAACTTGGCAGCATTACCTTTTACCAAAAGAGTTTGTAATTCATAGTGATCATGAATCTTTGAAATACTTAAAGGGACAAGGTAAGTTAAACAAGAGGCATGTCAAATGGGTTGAGTTCTTGGAGCAATTTCCATATGTCATCAAACATAAAAAGGAAAAAGGGAATGTAGTAGCTGATGCACTTTCTAGGAGATATGCATTACTTTCTATGCTTGAAACTAAATTGTTTGGTCTTGAATCTTTGAAAGACATGTATGTGAATGATATGGATTTTGCTGAAACTTTTGCTGCATGTGAAAGGTTTTCTAAAAATGGTTACTTTAGGCATAATGGATTCTTGTTTAAAGCAAATAAATTGTGTGTGCCTAAGTGTTCCATTAGAGAGTTGCTTGTGAGTGAATCACATGAAGGGGGTTTGATGGGTCATTTTGGGATTCAAAAGACTTTAGAAATTTTGCAAGAGCATTTCTTTTGGCCTCATATGAAACGTGATGTGAATAAGTTTTGTGATCACTGCATTGTGTGTAAAAAGGCTAAATCTAAGGTTAAGCCTCATGGGTTGTATACTCCTTTACCTGTTCCTGAATATCCTTGGACTGACATTTCTATGGACTTTATTTTAGGGCTGCCTAAAACAAAGAATGGAAAGGATTCTATGTTTGTTGTTGTTGATAGGTTTTCTAAGATGACACATTTCATACCTTGCAAGAAGGTAGATGATGCTTGTCATGTGGCTGATTTGTTTTTCAAGGAAGTAGTAAGGCTACATGGGCTGCCGAGGAGCATTGTGAGTGATAGGGATTCAAAATTCCTTAGTCACTTTTGGAGGACCTTGTGGGATAAGATTGGTACTAAATTATTGTTTTCTACTACTTGTCACCCACAAACTGATGGTCAAACTGAGGTAGTCAACAGGACTTTAGGCACATTGCTTAGGACTATTTTAAAGAAAAATCTTAAGACTTGGGAAACATGTTTACCTCATGTTGAGTTTGCTTATAATAGGGTTATCCATAACACCACTAATTATTCACCATTTGAGATTGTGTATGGATTTAATCCTTTGACTCCTCTTGATTTGTTATCTTTGCCTAACATTTCTATGTTTAAGCATAAGGAAGCACATGCTAAAGCAGAATATGTGAAGAAGCTACATGAGCAAGTAAAAGCTCAAATTGAAAAGAAGAATGAGAGCTACGCGAGGCAAGCTAACAAGGGTAGGAAAAAGGTGGTGTTCCAACCTGGTGATTGGGTTTGGGTACACATGAGAAAGGAAAGGTTTCCTAAACAAAGAAAGTCTAAACTTCAACCTAGAGGAGATGGACAATTCCAAGTCTTAGAGAAGATCAATGATAATGCTTATAAGATTGATCTACCAGAAGAGTATAATGTAAGTTCTTCTTTTAATGTTGCTGACTTGACTCCTTTTGATGCAGGAGATGAATTCATAGATTTGAGGACAAATGCTGCCCAAGAAGGAGGGAATGATGTGGACATAAAGGCCCAAGCCCATAACGAGAAGGATCAAGACCAAGATTCAATCCAAGACTTAGGTGGACCTATCACAAGAGGCAGACTCAGAAAAGCACAAGAGGCATTGCAATACAAAGTGACAAATTTGCTAAAGGCCCAACTATTAAAAAATCCAAACATGGAGGAATCTAGACCTATCACATGCATAGAATGTTTGGAGAGCTAGGAGGCCCAACTAAAAGATTTAGTTTTTATTATTATTATTATTTTATTTGCTATAGTGGGGATTTGAACCCAAGACCCAAAGCTTATAATGCCTTCACTGAACCATCTGGGTAACTTAACTTTGCTTGGGATATTAGAATTTTAATTTATCTTTATTTCCTGCAATGAGACAAACTCATAAACTTAACTTGTATTAAACATTTGGGAATTCAGAATGAAGGGACGGAATATTCAGATTACTTTGTGAGTTGTTGCTCTGCTAGGGTTCTTCCTTGCATCACTTGATCTTATCAAGAATTATTCGATTCTTGTGGCGATCCTTCTTGGCTTATCAAATATTCTTATTTGTGGCGCATACGGTATCTTTTATGTTTTTTTTTTCTATTTCTAATCAAATCAACTCTTAAAACCTAACCCTAAATTGTTTCCCTTCTATTTGAGTGTCGTCACTTGCTCATGGTTATGTCCCAATTGAGAAGGGTCTTCTAGGTCATAATAGAGAGGATAAATTTCACTTTGCCATATTTACCGCACCACCTTAGTAAAATTACAATTCTTACTACAACCAGTGTTGGATTGGCCTGAAATTTTGAAAGAAGGTTTGTGACATATGGTTCTTTGTTTATACTGTTGAGATCGTCAATTGGAGATTTATGGTTGGAGAAAATAGTCTCGCACTATGACTAGATTTTATGTTTCTCTTTTTTTGTTCTTCAAATTTGAGAACATTATTACTTTGTTATATTGACTACTTGTTTGTTTGTGGGTATTTGTTTGAGCATTTGATTTGATTTTCTTATATTCATATTTTGATCTTAGCATAACTTGATTAACCAGTTTGTGTTCATAGATGTTTATTTCTCATATTGAGGGGATTTTCTCATATTAATAATATTAATATTCTCTTTTGTGATTATTTTTCTCATTTTCTATTGTTGTTCTTCACATATCCTTACAAGTTTAGAAAAATTACTTTCGCTGCATATTTTGGTATTTTTTGTTATTTGGTTATTTTTTTTCCTATTACTAACCCATTATGGTCGAGGCAGATTATAAAATATTTGATTCGCCTTAAAGTGAATTAAATTGAACTCACATTTTCAGCTCAATCTATGGTAAGTTAACTCTGTATAAATCAAGTTAACTAATTTTGACATCATGTCAAATATGAATAAATTATATCAAACCATCATTAATTTCAACAAATAAAACAGAGAGAAGAAAAACATTTAGTGGTAAGAATTACTCCTAAAAAAAAAAAACAATAGCTCTTCTCTTAATCTTAACAAAATTCTAGATTTTAGTTAATTAGAATAAAAACACACTTATCTAATTCTCTTATTGAAAAATGTAAGTCAACTCCATTTATGTGTATGAAATTAAAACAAAAGAATCCAAAATTAGTTAATAATTAACTTTACAGCAACAAAATATAAACTTTTGAATTATAAAATCAACAAATTTTTATAATGTGTCTAGGCTGTTATTTTTGTTAAGCACGTAGAGTTATAAGATTTCTAACCTGTAAAAAGTGAATATAAATATCCATCCAAGTTAATTTGTCATTTATTTAATAAAAAAAGAGAGTCAAAGTCAACTTACCTAGGATTTACATGTTAATCTATCTAGTCCGTTTTGCATAAATGTAGATCCATAATCTGAAAGACCGATTCACATGAAAAAGAAAATATTTTAATAAATAATATAAATCTCTAAATATATTAAATACGTATTATATTACGTAAAAAAAAATCACAAATAAACATTATTGGAGTGAATTCATTGCAACATTTCAATTATTTATATTATTGTATATAAAATTTATTTCACATGCAATATTTATAAAGCATTAGCAAATAAATCATTGCATACTAATTAAACTGGTAAATTATACAATTTTAAAATGAATATTATAACTCATAAAATCTTAATTCAAAATATACAATATAGTAGCTTTTATTTAAAAATATATAAAAAATACACCAATAAATAATTTCATTTCACCCATTTTTATTTATACAGAGCTATGTAAGACAAACATCTATTAATGAGCTTAAAATATATAAGCTTAATTTATAGAATTAAATTAAATATATCAAATTAAGCATATATCACCATTTGTCTCAAAACTACCAAACACATAACCTATATGTATCTCTAAATGCATGTATAATCATCTTAATTATATTAATTTTAAAATAATATATTTTAAAGAAATTAATAATATATCCTTAGTATATCTAAATTATTTGTGTAAACTTTATTAATTTCAAAATTTATCTATGTCTTTGGAATTACATCAAATAAAAAGTTTAACTAATCACGGGGAAATTAATTGATATTGTTTGCTTTATTAATTATATTTAAAACTAATATTAATAGTCCTTATAGTCAAATAAAAATTAAATATTTAATTTGAGAATAATTTATAAAATCATCTAATATTATATAATATCACTAATATTATCATTTAAAAATATAATATTCTTTTAAAACAGAAAAAACGTTACAAACCATCTTAATTGATGGATATAGTTCGAAGTTGCATTATTACGAGTCTCTCGAAGATATTTTAAAAAACGTTACAAACCATCTTAATCTTTATTCCTGTTTTTCAATATTTATTATTAAGTTAAATAATTATTCAACTGGGAAAACTAATATATATATATATATATATATATATGAGAGAGAGAGAGAGAGAGAGAGAGAAGTAATTTTATTGTTGTAGTATTTTTGTACCCTTTTTTTTAATTATAGTCTTTATACTTTCTAAATTGATTGATTTAATCTCAATTTATTAAAATATATTATTTTAAATTTATATCTAAATTTAACATATAATATTTAATTTATCATCCAAAAATTCATAAAATGGTTAAATTGATAAAAAAAACATATTTAAATCTTAAATTTATTGTACATATAAAAATTTTGCAGTGTTATTTAAAATCCCTTCTATATAAAGAATTGTGTTAGACAATTTGTATAAAGATGAAAGGAGTAAAAGGAAAATTATATTTTTACATCCTTCCTATTAAATATCCATTCAACAACTCATTTTAATATAATAATAATAATAATAATAATAATAATAATAATAATAATAATAATAATAATAATAATAGTTTTACAATGTTATATTTATTATTATAAATACCATTTGCTCTAAATAAAAAGTGATAGGTTCGTGGAATAGAGAAAATCACACACGATAGAAACTAGACAGTTTTTATATCACGTTGAGATAATTTCTAATACTATTACCTTTTATTTAAAATCTCGTAGGATTTTGGTTTTTCTGTAATGATAAAAAATATGAATGCAAGATATATAGAAAAAAATTAGGTAACAAAATTGAGTCATAACACAAACTGTAAACCTTGAAAACTCATGGTTCCTCTCAAATTCATCACTCTCCTTTCCATGACCTCACCAACAACATCACTACTACTATGACTCCTTCTAAGTCCCTTTCCACGTGCCTCCCACGTGACCGTTTCCGAAGTCAATCGCAACTCTTCACGCCCCTCAAAATCGCTCCACCGCTGCTGGACCCCATCAAAACGGTGCTGCAACCCGCGTTCCGCACTGTCCAACGACGCCATTTCAGCGTTCTCGTTTTCTCCTCGCCACGCGGCGTCGTTTCGGTCCCGTATGTTCGATTCTTCCTCCGAAGATTTCGCCTTCGCGCCTTCCTCGTCGGGTTCAACCTTGTAACGACAGAGCGGACACGTGGAGTGTGCGTGGAGCCACACGTCCACGCACTCCACGTGGAATGCGTGCCTACACTTGGGCAACAACCTTAGAACCTCGGAGTCCTCGAATACGGCGAGACAAACGGCGCAGTCGAGACTGTGCTGCCCCTTCAACGACCCAAACTGAAAAACCGGTAACGACTCCAGAAGGGCATGGTTAACGCCAGAGTTTTTGCTCCCGCGCGAGGGGTCGGAGTCGGTGACGGAGGCACTGTAGTCTCTGGCATCGTTGCAGTGCTTGATGTAGAGGAGGAATAGGAGGGTGAGGGAGAAGGTGGTGGTCAACGCGCCCACGAGGACGTTGGTGTTGGACTTGAAGGGCTTGACGTAGTGGTCCGCGAAGAGGTCCGGCGGTGGTGACGTGGTGGCAGTGTCATCGCCAAGGATGAAAGGGGTGAGGAGAGTAAGGATGGTGGTGAAGATGAGGAACAGTGCGGAGAGAGTTTGGAATGGGTCGAATGCAGCACCCATGGACGTGTGTGATGATGGAAATTCACTGCAAGTATTTATGCATGCATCATGCTAAGAGACAGCAACGCCACTTATATAATGTAATAAATATATTTCCATAAATAGAAATGAGAAACAAAAGTGCTTTTTATTACAAAAATTCATACATAAAATCGATGATTGTCTTTTTTAACTTTTAGGGTTCAGGCTATATATATTTTGATTAAATATTCTTCATTCATTTCAGAAAACACAATTATATATTTTATGAAATATATATCTATATCTATATCTATATATATATATATATATATATATATATATATATGATTTGATATTGCTTTATAATATTATTTGAGATTGTTTTATATATTATAAAACAACAAATATTTTTAAAAATAAAAATTAACTTTTTATATTAATTATAAAATAATTTATATTAAAAATGATAACATTCAACATTAATTCTATCTAAAATCCATATTTTTAACATCTATTGTTTTTTAATCCATATTGTTTTTCTTAATTTTCAATCACAGAAAATCAACCTTATATATTCTCTATAACTAATATTAAATATTATTAATATGACAATAACTTAGTTTATTGTAAAACTAACTAACTCTTGTTTATTAGTTTGATTTTTTATTTAAAATTAACTACACTAATAAATACATTTTCTAAGAATTTGATCTCCGTTGATCCTTTTTTACCAATTTTTTTTAAACTATGAAACACTGTGTATATGAAAATTTTTAGTAGATTTTTTATTTTATTTTAAAGCATATTTCAATATGCATAATTGATTAAAGAGATCCTTGTTTTAAAACTTTCATTCAATTTACATTTATAAAACCAAAACTTTTCTTATAACTATGGCTAAAAGCATTACATATGTTTGGCTATCATCTAAATCAATAATAATCATCAAGAATCCTTTGCAAACCTCATTTCTCAATTTACTCTCTAAACTTAAAATGACTTTTATAGTTGATTCCCAAATCTACATTTTACAACCTTTACATGTTTTTTCTAGATTTTTCAACATATATAATAGATTCAATTTTGGAGTCAAATTTGCAAAATTCAATGCCCAAATGTATGAAATTGTAAAACTAAAAAGATAGATTTTAAAAGTTTTTTTTTAAGGGCTCTCAGTAACTTGAAATATGATGAAATCAATTTCGACTATTAAATTTTATTAAATTGGTAAAACTAATTAAGAAAATACACTTATTGAACATAAGTGAAATTTGTAAAGTTTTCTGAATTGAATAAATATTTTGAAGGGTTTAAAGTTTCATCAAACTTGAATCTCACTATGAATAAGATTTGAGAGAGATTTAAATCAAGCTAATACAAAATATCCTTTAAAATATGCTCAAATTCTAAGTAAATAATAAGAAGAAAACTCAAAAAATAATTGTTTTACTATTATGTGACTCTTTATACATCAACGATAATGTTTATCACATTTTACTATTACATACCATAAATAACATAGAAAAATATAATGTATTATTTTAGTTGATTATAAAAGCTTTATTTTAGTATGTTATATATAAGTTTTTTTTATTTAGTTTTATTTTTGAATTTTGAAAATTCAATTTAAAAATAATTTTTTTATCAAATTGAAAAAAAAAAAATTTGTCAGATGTGACCAAAATTATACCAATGACTTTAATAACTTACGAACAAAAAAGAATTATATAATATAACAACACGTACCATAACAAAATAAAAAAATACATAACACAATTTATATTTTAAAAAAATTTTAAAATAAAAAAATAGGTTTAATATTTTTTTAACATAATTATTATTAAATTTGATTTTTGAGTTTTTTAAAACTATAAATTATTTTTAAAAATAATAACAAATAGATTCTAATTTTTATATTGTATTTTATTTCTTTCGTTTTCTTATTTTTTTAATATATTTTTAATACTTATATATATATATATATATTAATTATAATTTTAGTTACTTTGACAAAATTGAATATTAAAACATATATTTTATTTATTTATTTTAACTTTAGTTATAATAACTTTTAAATCTAGTAATTATATTAATACAATTTTTTTAATTATCCATTAATCTTGTTGGAGTGATTTTAAGATAAATATGGAAAAAAAAATCCTTATATAATGAATTGGGATGAAAGAGTGTTAATATGATTTATACAGAGGAAATATAACTTTATTTTTTTCTTTAATTCAAAACTTTTTAAAATGATACTCATTATTATTTTTTTAATAATAACACTGACATATTAGATAATACTTCAGAAATTTTATTAATATATGTGAAATTTTTAAATGTAATTTATGTTCCAATGTAAAATAATATTAAGTGATGTAAAAATTATTTATATCATAAATTTTTCAAATAAAAATTAAATCTAATCATATTTATAAAAATTACAATGTCAAACAATGCTATTACACAACATTTTAAACTCTGATTATTTTTTACTTTTGCTTTAATTTTGGTACAAAACTGTTCACCTTAAATACCCTAGTTCAATAAATATGTTTTCAAAGAATAAATAATTAAAAAGAAAAGTCCATTGTTGATGAAACACAAATCATGTTATAGAAGTGAGAAAAAGAACCAAAATATTTTCATAATTGAAAATAATTTTAAATATTTTTATTTCTTATGGTAGAAAAATGTAACATGTTTTAAAATATATTGATGGTTAAAAAATGGTTTAAGTAAATAATTTATACAACCTGATTCATACATTGAAATAAAGGACATTAATAGAGTATGCTTTTAATAATTATTGATTTTTGAGTGGGGTTTCTATGTTTGTTTAATAGTGTGACCGTTGGAGTTTCACAATGTCACGTGAACTACACGTGACTAAGTACCTCATTTGAATTCGGACCTAAGCCTGTTTTTTCAAATTCATTTTAATCTAACCCATCACATCCACTTTCAAAATAGCAGCCATTACCCTCTCTTTTCTGTTCAAAACTTATAACGTTTGTTGTATCCTTTCTCTCACGCTCTTCTCCCTCTCTCTTCTTTGGCATACACTCTTGTTCTCTTCCTCCTCTCTCTCTCTCTCTCTCTCTCTCTCTCTCTCTCTCAGCAGGTAAAGTAAATTTACACTCTAAATTTCATTTTCAAGTTTCACCAGTTTGAATTGTTAATTTTTATTCACAATTATTCGCTTCTATTGGAGATTGTGAAATGAATTTAGAGGAAAATACAACATCATTCTGTTTAATTCTTGAGATTTTATTGGGTTTTAAGGTTTTCAATCTCTAGGTTGATTCGATTTGGTTAGGGATGGAGAACTCTGATTCACAGCAGTGCGTACGCGTTGCCGTCAACATCCGGCCTTTGATAACGTCCGAGCTCATGCTCGGATGCACAGATTGCATATCTGTTGTTCCTGGTGAACCTCAGGTAGATGTCTTATCCTTTGAATTTGAATTTTCTGTTTATGTTGCAATCGCGGTGTCTTGCTTCTGTTCACTGTTATCACGGATTTAATAAGTTCATACTACCTGTGCTTTTGTTTATTTAGTGTTTGTAGAAATTTGTAGTCAAATATGAATTTGATGTGAAACTGTTGTTATTGAATGTTGTGTAGGTGCAAATTGGGTCACATTCTTTCACTTATGACTATGTTTATGGTAGTTCGGGATCTCCTTCGTCCACGATATACAATGATTGTGTAGCACCACTAGTAGATGCGCTTTTTCACGGCTACAATGCAACAGTTCTTGCTTATGGGCAGGTATAGGTTTTGCATATGGCTTTGAACTTGATAATTTTTTTTTCTTTTATTTTTTTATCTCAGAATCTTTTTTGTTGTTATTGTTGTATATAATTTATTTAAAGTGAGTTTTAATTCTCAGACTGGATCTGGGAAGACATACACAATGGGCACCAATTACACTGGAGAAGAAAATGCTTGTGGTATTATACCCAAGGTGATGGAGACAATATTCAAGAGGGTTCAGATTATGAAGGATTCTTCAGAGTTTTTGATTAGGGTATCGTTTATCGAGGTAAATAATAATATTTATGTTTTTTTTGTTTTGTTTTAGGCCAAACTTTGAAACATGGAAGTTTGAACCGGTTTTACTTGATTACAGATATTCAAGGAAGAGGTATTTGATTTACTTGATCCCAATCAATCTAGAGGAGATGTGGTTTCTACTGCGAAGTCTGCTGCGCCCAGCAGAGTTCCCATACAAATTAGGGAAACAGTGAACGGAGGAATAACATTGGCTGGTGTTACTGAAGCTGAAGTAAAGACTAAAGAAGAAATGTCATCTTATCTTTCTCGAGGTTCACTGTCACGTGCCACTGGGAGTACAAACATGAACAGTCAATCAAGGTAAATTTGCATTCTATACTTAAAATATGCGGGATCGATTTTGTTTAGGAGAAACTTTTTATTGTTTGAATTGATAACTTTGCACATCAAAATTTTCATGTCCCTCCTACTGAACGGGAACATTGCCCTATTAAATATGATGACTGTGATTTATGCGCTTTGTCTAGTCGGTCGCATGCTATATTCACTATCACTATGGAGCAAAAAAGTGGTGATGATGTCTTGTGTGCAAAACTACATTTGGTAGACCTTGCTGGTTCTGAACGTGCAAAAAGAACTGGTGCAGATGGCATGCGTTTGAAAGAAGGTAATCGTGTGTGTGTGATACGACATAATTGTTAAAAATAGGTATATAATTAATACACATACATAGAGTATTTCCTATTTTCACCAATCACAATAAAATTTTTAAAATCTTACATAGCCTTTCTGCAACAATCTGAATTTTATAAATGCAATTTTAAGCTATTTAGTGATCATTTAGTTTTATCATTGTCAAGGCATTCATATCAACAAGGGTTTATTAGCTCTTGGGAATGTAATAAGTGCACTGGGAGATGAAAGAAAGCGAAAAGAAGGTGGCCATGTGCCATATCGCGATAGCAAACTAACAAGACTACTACAGGTTTGTACAGTGTTTGTTAAAGCATGACATCTAGTATACTTATTTTGAACAGCTTGCGTATATTATGTTCGATTCTTTCTAATATCTCATTCCATGACTAATGGAGTGATGCCTTTGCTCATATTAAGTATTGTTAGGAAAGGAAGTGTGCCTGTTATTTTCTTTAAACTGAGTTTCATGTGGGATTTATATGGCAAATCCTATCTTGAAACTTTGTTGTCAAAAGTTATTATTAATTAAGATGTGATACTAGAGTTTTAGTTATAGTGTTTACTGCTGAGATTTCTACATCATGGATTCATATCATGTCATCTTGACATGGACTTGGTTAATGATATGCAGGACTCTCTTGGAGGAAACAGCAAAACCGTGATGATAGGTACGGGACTTGCTCGGTGGATTTCAAAAATTTTTCACTTTTCTTGATCATCACATGTATCATCTAATTTGTTTGGGAATGCTGCAGCATGTGTTAGTCCTGCTGACACCAATGCTGAAGAGACATTGAACACCCTGAAGTATGCGAACCGTGCTCGCAACATTCAGAACAAGGCAGTCGTGAGTGCTTAATATTAGTGTCAATGTTTTGTTTTCTTTCATTTTTTGTCCCTTCTTAAATTAAATTGCGAGAGACAATGAAAATCGTTCATGTTTCTAATATTCGATGGTTTTAAATATTCTTCCTTTAGATTAATCGTGATCCAGTGGGAGCCCAGATGCAGAGAATGCGAAGTCAGATTGAGCAACTGCAATCTGAGCTTCTACTTTACAAAGGTGATACTGGTGGGGCATTTGAGGAGCTTCAGGTACATCATAATTTTAAGTTGATCCCTCCTTTTACCGGGTATATGTTTCTGATGTCCTGCTCTCTTTCCCTGTAGATTCTTAAACACAAAATATCCTTACTTGAAGCAAGCAATGCAGAACTACAGCGGGAGCTTCATGATCGTCGAGTAACTTGTGAGAGTTTAGCACAACGTGCATGTGATGCTCAGGTCTTTCTCTATCCTTTATGCTCTCTACTCTAATAGTATGTTAGGTTTTTTATCAAAAAATAATTGTAAGTTGCTTCCAATATCACTGCTGTGTTATTTGCCAGCAAGTTGCTTATTCTCACTCATGTTGTTGAATTTAGGTTGAAAAGGACCAACTGGTCATGAAAATAGAATCAATTCGAAATGGTAAATCTTGGGATGAAATTGACTCAAATTCAAATGAGGTTTGAACTTATCTAGTCATTGCTAACGCATAATTACAATTTTCTGATGAGGCAATCCATAACTGACTCATTGTCTGAACTGTTTCTAGGATTATGACCTGGTGAAATCTTATGTGTCGAAAATCCAAGATCTGGAAGTTGAATTGCAGCGTTTGAAAAATTCACATGCAAAATCTAGACAATTTGATGACTGGGTTGATACAGATGATAGTGGATTCCGGTCAAAGAATGTATTATTTGCATGTGATAATGAGTACTCTTCTGATTGTGAAGCCAAATCAGTTGACATAACAGGTAGAACTTTAAGTAGTTTTTATGTATTATTGTACGGTGTATCTGTTTTTGTTTGTTTGTGAATCCTTGAGACTGATGTTATTAATTATGTTATTTCATAACGAATTCGTATTTCATAATGATGACTGTTTTCTCAAAGCTAGACCTGACGACAACATTTAGACTTCTTTGGATAACAAACTTTTTATATGCATTTTTTGCTATCACTTTGAATTGATGTTTATTGCTAAATATCATGTCAACAAATAATATTTTTACATTGTGACCTGTTTGCAGATGACATGGAAGATCATGCAAAGGAGATAGAACACTCTTCTCTTCAAGAAAAGCTGGATAGGGAGCTCAAGGAACTGGATAAGAAACTTGAACAAAAGGAGGTAAAAATTTCTGGATCTACTTTCAAATTTCATGGAGACATTGAATATGCTGTTTTTATCAAGATTGGTATCCTTTTCAAATTAATACGTGGTAGTATTGATTTTAGATGTTTTTTACTGCCTAATGATTTATATATATACTTTTTTATTTTGAAGGCTGAAATGAAGATGTTTAATAATGTTGATACTTCAGTTCTTAAGCATCATTATGAAAAGAAAGTTCTTGAGTTAGAACAAGAAAAGAAATTTCTGCAGGTATATGATCTCTGCTATCATGAATTATATTACCTTTAAATTATTACCCTTATAACATTGTTCCTATTCTTTGTAGAAAGAAATTGAGGAACTTAAGTGCAATCTTGCAAATATTTCATCCACCTCAGATGACGGTGCTCAAAAGTTAAAGGAAGAATATCTCCAAAAGTTGAACGCTCTTGAAGCACAGGTGCTCTTATTATTTGGAATGTCTTAGCTTTTTAATGGCCACGCAGTGTTGTAAACTGATTTTATGCTTTTCCAGGTCTCTGTGCTGAAGAAGAAACAAGAAGCTCAGGCTCAACTGTTGAGGCAAAAACAGAAAAGTGATGAGGCATCTAAAAGACTTCAGGATGAGATCCAGAGAATTAAATCTCATAAGGTGCAATGACCTGCTAATGGGGCATATATTCAGTTTGAAGCAGATGGCTGTTTTTGTTGTACTTTTCCTATGGAGTAATCACCGATATTTTATTTTCTTCAGGTTCAATTGCAACATAAGATTAAGCAGGAATCAGAACAATTTAGGTTATGGAAAGCTTCACGTGAGAAAGAAGTTCTACAGGTAAATTCATCGTAGAATAATTTCCATCTACTTTTTTAGCAAAACAATATTCCTTTTATTACACCATTTTTCTGTGATTGTATAGCGGAAATAATTATACTTTTGGTATTTGTTTTTCCATTCGATAATCGAAGGACGCTATTTTCTCTGTATTTTGATAGGTACATATGTTATATTACGACCTTCCTATAAGGAACGACCGCTAGTGTCTAATATGAACAAATTGATCAGTTATTAGTGAGTCTTCTAATACATATTTTTGCTATTTGCAGCTTAAAAAAGAAGGAAGGAGGAACGAATATGAGATGCATAAACTGTTAGCATTGAATCAGAGGCAAAAGATGGTAAATATATTTTCAAATAACTTGTTCTTTGGGTTTGGTTATTCCAATTATTCATGAGTTCATTACAGGTATTGCAAAGGAAGACAGAAGAAGCGTCCTTGGCTACAAAAAGGCTAAAAGAACTTTTGGAATCTCGAAAGACTTCTTCACGTGAAAGTAAGACTTGGAAGATTTACTGTGCCTCGCAGCTTCCCTATTTTGTGAACTTATTATTAACTGGCAGTTATTTCTTTATACACAGGTGCTGTAGGTGGTAATGGTCCAGGAATTCAGGTACTTTTGTTACTTTTCTTGTGATTCACTTGGCTACCCTTTTTTAATTTCTTTATGGTGGGGATGTAGGATAGTTTTTTTTAATATCATAATTCCATCATGCTATTGGGTGGAGGATGTCTTGGTGTTATTTATTTACCCACTACATGACATTTGTTTCTATTTGAAGGCTTTGATGCAGGCAATTGAGCATGAGCTTGAAGTCACAGTCCGAGTGCATGAAGTACGTTCAGCACATGAGCGTCAAATGGAAGAGTATGTTCTACTTTCTACGATTTGATTTTTCATCTGAAACCTTTAGAATGAGAAGGTTGTTAAACCGGTTAAATCTAATGAGCTTAAGTTTGAATAATACTTTTGAAGGTTTTCTTCTGAAAGTCATACTGCCTTGTTACGTTAATTCACTCATCAATTTTTAATATTTGTATTTATTCCGTTTTGTATGCAAAGTTGGCTCGTCTATGTTCTCTCTATATGCAAAACTTGAACCAATTTACTAGTTATCATGTCACATTATTCATTACAGGAGGGCTAAAATGGCCAACGAGATTGCAAGATTAAAGGAAGAGGCAGATATGATGAAGATAAACAATTCAAGGTGAATAATAAGCCTTGCAGATGCCCAATGCATTTATTTATTTTACAATTTTCTCCTTGGAAATCTATAATTGACAGCACCATCTGCTTTCCTGACTGCTAATTTAGGGATGGCCTCGTATCAATGTCTCCGGGTGCCAGAAATTCAAGGATATTTGCTCTTGAAAAAATGATCGCTTCTTCTTCTACAACATTGCTTTCGATGGCATCTCAGTTATCGGAGGCAGAGGAGCGGGAGCGGGTTTTCAGTGGCAAGGGACGTTGGAACCAAGTCCGTTCTCTTGCTGAAGCCAAGAATTTGATGAATCATTTGTTCAACCTGGCATCTTCCTCCAGGTAGTAGAGCTGATCTGCAAGTTAAACTTATGGTTCATGATTACAGTTAACCAAGTTGCCTCTAAAATATAAAGATCTTAAATTTTATGTTCTACTAAAATGCAAACTGTTAATCTGACGTAAGCAGAATGTAGTAAGTTAACCGCGTTATCTTTTGTCATGATATGACTGATATTTTTTTTTCTTTTCTTTCTATTTCAGGTGTTTCTTGCGAGATAAAGAAGTTATTTGCAGAGAGAAGGACATGGAAATAAGAGATCTAAAAGAAAAAGTAGTAAGATTGAGCTGTTCACTCAGACAATTGGAAATGCAGAAGTCTGAACTTATTCATCAGTTGAAGTTGCAGGTTAGTCGAGAAATAAATTTTGTAACAGCTCAGAATTTGATGATATAACGAGACTTCATTTATTTTCTCCTTTCCAAATTTAAGCTGCAGTTTGTTAAACTGGAGAAACATTTTCAACTTTGATTATCCAATTGGTAACTTCTTTTCTTCCTGTATTTAACCATATATTTTTTTAAACTTGTGACAGAGTGCACTGAGATACTCAGAATCTATGGGGGCTTCGGTGTATCATGACAATAATGTTGGAGGGCATAAGTATGACTTGCGCAAGATGGTAGGTGTCTTGCATATCCTAATATGCCTACAGATGATTTTATCTCATCATAAATTATTTCTTTTATAGTACTATAGTTAATGATAATTTGCTTTATCATTTAGGAAAACCGGCGATCTACAATTTTACTGGAGGATATGGATTTATCAATATCAGATACAGAATCAGATGATTATATAGCAGATGTTACTGATGATGAATGGGTAGCATCAGAAAAAATACACATTAAGAAAAGAAAGTCTAAAGGCAGAAGTTTAAGCATGGAAAACAATCTGTCACATATCAGTTCAGAAGATGGGAAAGATAGTTCAACTGAAGGAGATGGAGATGCATCCGGGGAAACTGGATCAGATGTATGCTGCTCTTGTAGTAAATCTTCATCTTGCAAGACAAACAAGTGCAAATGCAGAGCTATGGGTGGCACTTGTGGGAGTTCTTGTAGTTGTCTAGCATCCAGGTGTGCCAATAGAGCATCAGTCGCAATTGAGGCACAAGTTGAGGGGAGTGGTAATGATTCCAGCATCGAGGAAGCTAACAAAGATCGCCTTCTTGCTGCTCAAGGCGCTGAGTTGCTGCAGGGTGCACTAGTTGAGGGTCCTGCTGATGCCCACGGTGATAATCATGGGTCAAGAAAACCTCTTTCAGATATTGGAAATACACTGGTGAGTGTCAGCCATAAATCATCTAGTCAAACCTCTCAATCTCTCTTGTGCAAAAAGTTTACTTAAATTATTTTTGTTTTATGGTCATTACATGTAAACTTGATGCCACTCAGATTAATTACTTCAGTATTGTTTTAATATCTTATGCTTTTACTGGGGGGTCTAAGACGATCTGATTCTTTCTGCAGGCCAAATCAAACGCCCAGAAGGCTAATCCAAGAAAGAAATGGAGAAAGTCCACTGTGCCCACAGTAGTAGTTGTTCCAGATCCACCGTTCACGCAGTCAGATAATGCCGAAGTCCCCAAGAAAGAAAACAATAGCATCAGTGAAGCGAATGTACCTATGAACATACCACAGAAAATGCACTCTTCTAGACCTGAAAATATTCCGGTTGCCCCGAAGTTAGAGAAAAACGTAACTGAAACAGATATACCTTTGAGAATACCACGAGCTATGCGAAAACAAGTACCCAGTGGCCTTCCACTGGGGGATATTAATGGTAGTAAGCCAGATGAATCTTTCAACAAGAAGGAATCTGAAGTGATTGAAGCTAGAAGTCCGGTGAAACAAAAAAGAACACTGGAGAAAGAGAACAATGGACGTTATTAGAAGACCCATCCCATTCATGATTAAGGTGAATGCAATTACCATATTCTTATGGTGTATGTCTGTAGACATGTATCAATCATTAATTTTTGTTTGCCGTCAGTCGACAAATATATTATTTGGCTTCCCTTTTGTGGCTTATCAGACATGGTTTGTCGAAAGGATTATGTGCTGATGTTCGAAGTACCATTGGAGTGAACTCACTTTATATGTGAAAAGATGAGTTGAGTTGTTCAGTGGGAACAATTGGATAGAATTTAATTTTTGCAAATCCGCATGGGTCAAGAGTGTGGAGCTTAATTTATGTTCTATGTAGACCAATTTGTTGTGCACATTTTTAAATAGAAGTCTCACGAAGGGTAGTACTAAAACAATTGATCATAGAATTAATCAAATGTTCGTTAATTGTTAAAGATTAAATAAAGTTATTTGATCCTTACAAATTCTTTAAAAAATGTAAACGTAAAAAATTCTTTAAACTATGTAGTTAATTTTTCTGTGCTTACAAAACGTGATAGATAATTGATTAATTCCACAGGAGAAAAAAAAACTTGAATGATTAAAATTCGTTAGGAGTCACACTGTTAGTCAGAGAACAAAAATTCTAATTTTTCTTTCCAAATAATGTAAAATGGCAGTAAATTTATAAGAAAATGTAATCAACTTTATTTAAACTTTTTTTATAATGGATAAATGTTTTGTCAGTTTCACCAAATAGATAGTTGTATTTTAAAGACATCCACATAAATTTTAGCCATGAATAATTTTTTTGGAAAATATGCGAAAAAAAGTGATTATGATAAATCATACCTCTCTAAAATGATTGGTCAAGTTATTTGATAGGCGACCATTGGTGCTAATATCAGTATATCCCATTTTAGACTAAAATTTGTGTGGATATGCATACAAGAAGAGTGATGTGTCAGTGTCGGGCACATCAAATAAAATAGTGACAAGTTGGTACCATATGAAATTAAAAAATTGTTATTTTTTTAATTCTTATAGTTAAATCTAATTATTTTAATGTTGAAGAAGAAAAATATTAACCAAGATATAATATTAATTAAATAATATTTCGATTTTTGATAATTAGATTATTAGTTACCATTAAAAAAATAATTATATATATTATCTTATTTTTTATCCAATCATTTCTTTTTAATATTGTATTTTTATTTAAAAATAGTTATAATTTACTTATATTCTTATAATTTATATTTAATATATTATTTTTTACGTTATAATTTCAAACTATTGTAATATATTTAAGAACTACATATAAATTCTAAAGCTAAACATTATTCTTTCACGTAATTTAAGAACTAATGTAAATAATTTGCTTATAATATATTATACATTTTTTGTCACTATATATTTTTTTACGTATGAAATGATAACTATATAATTAAAAGGATAAAAATCATATACAATTACTTTATTTAACTATTATCTTGTCATGAAAACTTCTAAATTACTTAACAAAATAGTATAAAAGTTATCGTTCATAATATATATATATATATATATATATAATTATCTTATTTATACGAAAATAAATACATTGCTTAATTTAATTATGAACTTAAAAATAATCTAATTACCTTAATTTAAAATTATTTTATTTCTATAATTATCGTCATTAATATTTATATTTGTATCATTAAATTAACTATAATTAATATTGAAGAAATATAACATATTCAAAAGTAGTAAAAAAGTTTGCAGAAAAAAGCGAATTAGATAATGTTTATGGAAAATTAAAACATATTTTAACCTAAAGAAAACAAAACTAAATATTTTGCATTGAGTGTATTCTATCATTTGTAAACTCTTTCCTATTTTTTTAATGAGATTAAATATGTTTTAGTTGTTTAAATTCGGGGTAAGTTTTTTTTTTTAACTTAAAATTATGTTTTATTTAGTATAATTTGAAAATTCTTGTTTTAGTTCTTCAGCCTTAAATATTATTAAAGATTTTTCTTATGTGATTAATGAATCATAAGTAATTTAGATAATTTTTTTTATTTTACATATTATTTTTATTATTAAACCTTTTATTACGCATATTGGATTAATATTGTTTAAGACCTGGATTTTAAATAATTAAATATAAAATAAATATATTTTAAGGCATTAAGATATGTATATTCTATAATCGACACTCGTTTCTTATAACTAGATTCATTAGATGACTTATATTATTCAAGATATTTATATTATCTTTATAATTTTAATGAAGAAAGAGAATATACACCGAAAACATTATTTATAATTCTAATGAAGACAAATTAATATAAAATACTTTATACATTATTTTACAATTTAAACTTTTCTTTCACAAAGAAATTTTCTTTGAAGAAGAATCGAAACAGAATTATAAGAGTAAATTTTAGTAGAAAAAAAATCTAACCATTTTTTTTATAGTGTTACTTTTATACTATCAACGTATTTGTTTTTCTTCAATGTTTAATAACAATAAAAAGAAAACCCAAATCGAACTGTGAAAACTATAAAGCCACCAATAATAAAGAGTTGGATTGTGATATTTCAATTTCCAATCAGAAAGCAAGTTGCAAGCAAATGCAACATGGCACACGTGAATAGGTTGTCCCATGATGTTATAATCACACACACCACAGCCATTGATCGAAGAAAATTAACTTAAAAAAGGAACCTTGTGCAGTGTATGAATGCATGTCAATAATGAATGGCTGAGGAAGGAATTCATGAACGTGGAGGCAAAACCAATAATTATAATAATTGCGTCTATTTGTTGGAAAATTTTGGACCTTCCATTTTCAGAAAGAGATAATAATCCCATGTACTGAAAAACTTTTTTTGAGCTTTTTGCCACATTGGATGTGGGTGAAGATTGAGGAATGGTGAGATTCAAGTGCTGTTGGTTTGGGTTTGGAGTTTTGATTTGGCAGCATGTGGGTAGAACATGTTGACTGGGTCCTATGACACACCAAGACAAACCAAAAAACAAAGATTTTGGACCAAAGAAGACCAAGTATTTGTGAGTGACCAAATCTCACTTTCTCTTCTCTTGCTTTCATCTTTTCTCCACCAACATCATCCAACAAATTAAATACTAGATCATATCAGGGGAACTTGATTTTTTTTTCTTTTGAATTTGACATATATTATAATAATAATAAATTATTCTATTATCAATTGATAGATATATAAAAAAATGAAAAAAGAGATAAAATATTAAGAATGATATTATAAGCAGAATTTAAAAGAAGAGAGATCGCAAATGTAGAGGAAAGCAAATAATGTATATTAATAATTGAGAATTAAGAACATCTTTCTAAAATTTGTAATTACTAAGCAACTATATATTAATTTTCAAGTAATTAAAAAAAATCAAACTTAAAGGTAGTACAATTATTTTATATATGAATTAGTAAAATTATTAGGGATAAAATTTATGTATATAATTAAAATGCCCAATAGATTGATTCGTCATTGACCGATCTCACGTGACAAACTATTTAATCATAAGTTTTTAGAATAAAGCTTAAATATCTTGACTAGGAAAAAGAACCGTTTGCAAATTCTAAAAAGGAATAGCATAAAAAAATAATAAGAGAATAGAGATTAAAACTGATTTAAATTATAATTTAGATAGAAAATGTTTAAAAAAGCAGGGTTTAGGTTTTGATTTTCTTTTCATTTAATATATGATAAAACAAGAGAGATAGAATTCCATAAGCTTTAAACTCTAATGATGAGGGTAAATATTTATTGAAGTTTCTTGTAAGTAATGTTCCCTGAACCACACATCCACGCAAATCCAAATCAAGTGTTGTCCATGTCCACCATTTTAACATTCTCACTACCACCAACCAGCACCACATCTATGACTCCTCTTCGGAGATTGGACCGCCACCTTTTCCTTCACAGGTTTCCATCCCCTGCACCCACGCTCCACCTGCACTCTCATTCTAAAACTTGTTTCACGCTTGATACATACCCACACTCAGCCACGTGGATTCAAAATCGTTTCTACTATGGAACCGGCTACACTGGATAATATCTATTATTGTTATGTTCTTCTCTTCATCGTCCACGTGGCGCTCTTTTACTTGAGAGTCTTGTTCGTGCCAAGTGACATTATTATTGGAACAGCTCGGACAGATCGAATGGTTCTTCACGCGCCACGTGTGACTGGATATCATCCAACGGTATCTGGAAACTGTATGGAAATTGTGACTGGTTTTTCTTCTTATTCTTCTCTGTCAATCTATCTATCTATGTACCCTTTTTCCCTTAAAAGCCCACAATTAGTCGTGAAAGCTTCGTCTCTGATAACATTTTTTGAATAACAGAAATTTTACTTTCTGAGGTTTTAACCTTTTTAAGGTATACACTGATTGATTAATAGCGATTCTCTCTTCCTCTTTCTCACTTTTTTTTTTTTATTTCCTTAAATAGCTGTCTGTGGGTACTCTTAGTGCTTGAATCTTTGTGAAAAGTTCGTACTTTTGTCGTTTCAGCTTCTGGGTTTTTTGTTTTCACCTTCGTTTTATCTAATTTTGGGGTAAAGGCATGTTTTTTTGTGATATTTTTTTGGGGGGATAAATAATTGGAACTGTTGCTGAATAAATGGGTTCGGTTACCTTGATGGTGCCCACGTTGGGAATTTGTTTGTGTTGGCTATTTTAAGGTTTGCTATTTTTTGTTCTTGCTGTGAATAGTTTGCTTGCTGTTTTGAATCTGTCATTGTTTGGATTATGTGTCAACATAGGTTTATTCCTCTTGATTCTGGCTGTTGAGAAAATGGGTGTCTTTGTTCAATGTACTCTGGAGTACTGTTTATGTTTTGGTTTTGTTTTTTGTTCTGTATACATTGTAACAAATGTTTGTTAATGATTTGAATTGCCCTTTGTTATGACTTGTTAATCGTTGTGTAAAACACGTGAATAACGCAGCTAGAAAATTCAGCTCTTCTTGCCTTTGGTGTTTGAAATTCAAGTGTCACCAAACATTTTCTGAGTTAGATTGCTTAAACAACTCCTGTTTTGTGTGCTTTTCTATTAGCTTTTATTTTTTTTATTTAGGTGCTTCATTATATTTCCTACTTTCCTGTTGTGCATTGTTTTCACTTCAATTTAGACGGTGTGCTAACTGAGTTCTTAATATAATAGGCTTCCCTAACCATAGCTGCTTTTTGTTCAAGAAGAGGTTGTGTACATTTCTCAGAAAGAGTTTTGCTGCAAGACTTAGACACAGTTGTGTAAATGTCTGTGGCTTTTACCAACCTCTCTTGGTGGTTGTGGAGTGGAAAGCATCAAGAACCAAGAATCCCAAATGGATCTTCTATAAATTCTTCTGCCGATTCAAATCTGTGGGAATCAGATGTTTTGAGGTTTCCTTTGGTTCAGGCGAATCTGCGGTCCTCATCGAGAAAGGTGAAGCGCAAATGGCATAGCAGGGAAGAGAGGAAGGTGGATAGGGAATGTGATGTTGTTCTGGTTCCATCTGATGGTGGATGTGTTTCTGGTTCTGAATCTGATGATTCTGACTGGTCAATTGGCTGGTTAGAGCCTCATGGACCTGGTTTCCCAAGTGATGATGAAACAGATAACAGTTTTGCTGTTCTGGTTCCCTGTTATGGACGAGATTACGGGAGAATAGTGGAGGATCCAAAAAGCAATTTGCTGAGTGGTGTTGGGAACTTTCCAGATAGTTATTCAGATGGTGAGTTTTTTCATTAACACATCTGTTGGAGTTACATTTTTACTGTTTCTGAATTGGTTTTCTCTTTTTGTTTTGGTTAATGAATCATTAGCAATTTAGCATTTGAATACATGGATTTGGATTGAACTATAAACATTAGTTGAAAATGTAAAAGCTATTCAAAAAGTTGGTTGTCTTCAATTTTTGTTGGCTTTGTGCATGTGGTACTGATTTCTGTCAAAATACAGTTCTAGGCATTGGTTCCAGCAACTGCTAAATTTCGTCATGATTTTGTATTGGTTAAGAAAAATATTAGCTAGATATATTTTTTGGTTAGACTTTACCAACCGAAGCATGCCATTTTGCATTTAGTGTTATCTCTAATACATTTTTCTTTGAGGAAGTTACTTCATATTTTTATAAACCAAGATTAGACAAGCATAGAATTCATCAATCTTGCAGCATTTATGTTTATGAAATTTTTTATTCATTAATCTTACTGAGTTTTCTTGCTTTAAAAACTAAAATAAGATTTACCATTTAGTTGGATATATGAGTCTGCCTTTACCCTCATGATCCATCATTAGCTGGAATAAACAAACCTATTAACAATAATGACATGAATTGGAATTTTTCAATGCAATTGAGAGTGTTCTTGGACTTTTATATCTAGTATGATATTTGATGTGAATTGTGAGGTTAATGATAATATGGACTTTGTGCATATATTTGTGGTTGATTACATGACATTCAAATTTTCTTTTTCTTCTGGTGGGCTAGAGTTGCAACATTTATGCTTTTTCTTCATTATCTGCAGAGAGCAAAAAATATGTGAAAGACTGGCTCTCTTCTCTTAGAACTACCTGATGCACAACCATTCATCACTGTGATCCTGCACACCCTGAGAAAAATCATCTTTTGTGGTCCTTGGCCAATAAACAATTGTATAATGTAAATATTGTAAAAAAAAAAAAAAAAAAAAAGGCATTGATGTGATGTCAGAATATGATTGGTTAACATTGAGTCTTTGTTAATTCAAATATGGGGGAGGAGATATGGTCAAGAGTGAAGCAGTTGTGCTTGTGATGGTTTGGCGATGAGAATGATGTGCAACTGCTCCTGTTCTGCTCCCTTCTTCCTTCGAGAGTCCAAACATTGTGACTGAATTTAGAGAGCTGTATTGAAGTGTGACTTTGGAACTTGCAATTCGTTGATGTAAATATGGTAATTGGTTGAATGTTTGATCTTTTATGTACATAACTGTATAAAAATTTTGTATAACATGGGTGCACTCTATATTTATGTATGTGTGTGTTTTTGGAGTTTGTAGGCCTGTGGAGTTAAATTTGCACAATTTTGTGTAGATCCGGTAATAATCTACTCTCTCTACCTTACTACTCTTTTTGTTTCTTCTCTTGGATCCGGTGATAATCTGCATGCACTGGATTTTCTTCAAGAGATGTTTAAAAGTCCTTCTAGTAGCCCTACAAAAGACAGAAGGGTCATCAACATAAAAGATGCATCTACTCAAGGCCTCCTCCAAAAATATTGTACTCATATAATTTCATTATTGATTATTTTTACATAACTTTTTTTAATTAATTTCTATGTATAAAAATCAGGAAAATAATTAATATTTATAAAATATATTTCTCAAATTCTGATTCCATTAAACATGTGAACATAATTTAATAAAGTTCTATGATAATTACGTGATCAGGGAAAAGTGATTCGTACTTAAAAGGGGTAAAAGGGGTAAAAATATCATTTTTGTATAAGTACTGTTATTATTCAATAAAGGTGGTTATTATTATTTATTAATTAATTAAAGGATACAATTATAAAAGGAAACTCCTATAATAATTAATGAAATTAAATCTCGAATGTAACATCTAATTAAATATTATTAAATTAATTTTTATAATTTTGTGATATATTTAAAATATTAACCCTTATGAACATTACCTTATTTTTATATCACATAAAGATTACATATATATATATATTTTTTTAATTTCAGTATTCTTAAAAGTTATAATCAAATAAGTTTTATCAAAATGGTTTATAGCAACAAACTTTTAATTTGTTTTCTTTACTATTGTTTTTTGCATTTATAACTAAAAAAAGTAAAAATTACTTGATATTTTAATAATTATTTCAAATGATTTTTTAATAGACTCCTATGTAATTGATATGATACTTAATAATATTTTTATTGATATTGATAATAAAATTCAAAAATATTTTTCATTAAAAAAAATCATTTACTTGATTGATTAATGATATTTTTTTCACATAAGTAGTGTTAATAATTAACAAAAAATAAACATTTATCATTAATTATTGTAATTATAAAATATCATTTTTTACTATTTATAATATTTATTACTTAATTGATTTGTAAAGTATATTATTTACAATAAATATCTCATTCATTCATATTTACTCATTAACAATAATGATTATTAGTACTGTTTTAATATTACAAGTATTACAATAATTTTGTTAAATTGAACTAAATTCATATTGCTTATTTTCTAAAGAATAGCATTTATAAATATACATATATATATATATATATATATAATTATTATAATTAATAATATAACTTGATATTATTTATTATATATATAATTAATAATTAAAATTAATAAAAGTAATGTTTATAGCAAATATTATAAATCCATTTAAGATTTATCAACACTTACTTTCTAAAGAACATTATTTATACAATAATATATTTACAATAAATTTATTGTTCTCATTAATAATAAACATAATATTTTTATTAAATAATATAATTAATATCAAACATTCATACAAATAATGTTTTCGTCAATAAATATTGTAAATTAATTAAAGATATATAACAAATTGAGATTTTTTTTTACTTAATTTGCTAAAAAATTTATTATATGACCAGTTTTTTATAAATTAGATAAATAGAAGAAAAACATTTGACATCTCTTACAAAAATCACATCTCATCTTTTGCTTATAAATTAGGTAAGTAGAAGAAGAATATCTAGCTTCTTACCTAATGCATGAAAAACAGTTTGGTGTGAAAGTTAGAACCAATGTTACCGATTTGCTGAACAACTGAAAACTAAATTCCCAAAATTAACATACCCATAAACAAAGAAATAAAAAAGAGACAAAAAGTGTTCATGTTCTTGTTATATAAAAACTGACATATATTGTCCATTTTAATGGCATGATAACATGTAACCTCCAAAGTTTGTTAAATTCCTTTTCTTAGGTTGCCAACAAGGCCCACCAACCAACCAAAAGTGAGGAAATTGATCTTAAATAAGCTCTCCAACCTTTGAGTTCTTCAAAGGAGCCAACACCTTACACGTATGCATGAGGCGAAGTATACTCCTCTCCATGTCTACCCCATGAGAGGACATTTTCGCGCACCTATGTTTTTCTTTTCCCCATAATTTCATTAATCACGTTCCTAAAGAAAATCAAACCTTTCTCTCATCAGAAATCTTTTGTGGGTCATTATTTTTATGTGTCACATCTTCATCATCAACATTTTACTTCAATGAGTTGAAAGTGCATTATTGCTACCTAAGACAAAAATGTTGCAAAGGGCAGCAAGCAATGCATATTCATGGTGGTGGGCCAGCCATGTCAGGACAAAGCAGTCAAAATGGCTGGATCAAAGCCTCCAAGGTAGTTTCTTAGTATGCATTTATATGATTGAATCTCGATCATAAATCTGATTTTTTTTTTTAATTTCTCCTGTAACATCAAATCATATATATATATATATATATATAGTACTTTGTCGGACATTAACATTCTCATTTTCTCTTGATTTCCCAAACTACTTTTTGGAGATTTGTTGATTAAGATGACTGGCAACACACATGCATATAAATGAAGCTTTTCGTTTCAATGATAGTGGCTGCATCTTTTTAACCCACCATTACGTATACACTTAACAAATTAATAGATTATTTTACAGAAAAAAAGGCAAAATGATAAGAACATAAGAAAATGAATTAATGACATTACGAAAGAAATAGGATCATGTCATTGTTCTATCAGTTTCATGAGTGCATAGAAAAGAACAGCAGTTCTCATCTGCATTATTATTCTCCTTTAACTTTCTAAATAAAATTAACTCAAGTATGATTGAAACAAATAATGACAGATATGGAGGAGAAGGTGGCTGCAACCCTCGTTGTGTTGCGAGATGAGGGGGACTCATTTGCTAAGCGGGCAGAAATGTATTACAAGAAGAGGCCAGAGTTAGCAAATTTTGTGGAAGAAGCATTTGGAGCATATAAAGCCTTAGCAGACAGATATGATCATTTATCAAAGGAACTTCAAAGTGCCAACCGCACCATAGCCAGTGTCTTCCCAGACCAAGTTCCATGTCCTAGTGAAGAAGATGAAGAAGAAGAAAGTGATACAGGAACTAATTCATTATCACCAGACCCCAAGAATCAAACACATAATAAACCATCCATTCCTAAAGTTCCAAACATCCCAAAGAAGCATATTAGAAGTCAATCCATGTCGATCTCCAGAAAGGGCACGCTTAAGAGGACTATTAGCACTGCAAAATATGTTCCAACAATTTCATGTTCAGGTCTGACCAAGGTTGAAGCCTTGGAAGAAATTGACAAGCTTCAGAAAGAAATATTGTCACAGCAAACTGAGAAAGAGTTTGTGAGGAGTTTGTATGAACGCGCCAATAAAAAGTACTGGGAAATCGAAGACCAGATCGCAGCAACACAGAAAAGAGTTTGCAGCTTGCAAGATGAGTTTGGTGTTGGGACAGTGATAGAAGACAATGAGGCTAGAGCTTTGATGGCAGCAACGGCTCTAAAATCATGCCAAGAGACCCTGGATAAGTTGAAAGAGATACAAGCTCAATCATCTAAAGAAGCTAAAGAGGAGTATCAAAGGGTAAAGAAAGCTCATGAGATGTTTGAGACCCTTAGAGACCAATTCATTTCTAAATATATGACAAAACTAGACAATGATTATGGGGACAAATGTAAGACTGTAGGAGCAGATAAAAAACGTATAGATGACGATATGGATAGCTTGGAGCAACAGGAGAATGATGTTGGGTTATTGAGAGAGAAGATTAAACAAAAGTTGGCAGAAGATTCAAGGAATTCCCTCACTGTGACTGAAATGGCTGAGTGCATTGACGAGCTTGTAAATAAGGTTTGTACCTTGGAAACTGCGGTTTCATCTCAGACTGGTTTGGTAAAGAGACTAAGATCAGAAACAGATGGACTTCAGAAAAATATGAGGAAGTTGGAAGAAGACAAGGAAATGCTCATAGAAGGCTCAGAAGTCACCAACAAGAAGCTAAAGGAATTGGAGAAAGAGTTATGGAGAGTTAAATTGCTCAACCGAAGTGTCAGAAGTCAAGACAACACCCTCCAAACACACTTTACTGAAGCTAGCTGTAACCTTGAGCACCTTTCTGGAAAATTGGATGACATGAAGCCAGATGAGGAGGAGGAGGAGAACTTCGTACTTTACAAGAAGAAGAGGAATGCTTCTGATGGTAAACCCGGGGAAAAATCTGAAAAACATGGTGATGAATTGTCTGTTGATAACTCAAATGTCAAGACAATAAAGGAATATAATGGTGCAAATTTTGATAATAACAAGTTTAATTCGGATAGTAGTTTTTTGAATCAAAGGATTCAAAAGCTGGCACAACAGGAAAAGGATGATTTATCTGATACAGTGAGCAATATTGACAGTGAATCCCATGATTTGGACACTAGGGAGGTTGATCAACCTAACTGGAGGCAGATGTTTATAAGTGGATTAGATGACAGAGAAAAGATTCTGCTGGATGAGTACACATCAGTTTTAATGAACTATAAGGATGTCAGGGTGAAGCTCAATGATGTGGAAAAGAAAAACCGGGACATCATTTTTGAGTTGACACTTCAGGTAAGCATTTTACTTAATTGTATAATTATTTTAACAACTCTGATATAGATTTAGAAATTAGCGTAATTATACATAAGAACTTATTTTTAATACCTATACATAAGAATGAACTTTCAGGACAAGAATAAAATATATTAAATACCCTTGTATAGCACTATATTATTCACATTTTTAAGTATAAAACAAATATCCACTTGCATAAATATTCCAAGTAAGAAAAAAAAATGCTTCACTTACTTTACAAGAGATTTGTATGGTTTTGGTCAATTTTACACTATATACGGAGGGAACAATGGCCTCTGCTCTTACTAATGTTGAATTTTGCCTGCAGCTAAGGGAGATGAAGAATGCTCTTGTCGCAAAGGATAAAGAGATACAGTTTTTACATCAGAAGATGAATTCTCCAGATGAAAATCCTGATGAAACTCCCTACACTAACACCACAGAATACAAATATACACCAAATGAAGCACTTCTTCGGGCAGCAGGTGAAGGAGCAAATGGGTCAGAGTCAGAATTTTCACATGTAAATACAGATGCAAATGCAGTCACAACCCCTTTCTCAGAACATCAAGGTGAAACTGAAAGCACAAGAAATCCGAATTCATCAAGTATGAAAATGACACTTGAGAAGCTCATGGAAAATCAAGATAAACGCCGTGATCTTTCAAACTTAGAACAGAAATTCCGTTCAGACATCGACAACTTAATGGAAGAGAACCTAGAGTTCTGGTTGAGGTTTAGCACTTCAGTTCATCAAATTCAAAAGTTCCAAAACTCAATTCAGGACTTAAAAGCTGAGCTGAAAATGATAAAGGAAAAAGACAACAATTCTGAAGGGTATTCACAACAAAAACAACAGCCTATACAATCTGAGCTCAGGCCAATATTCAGACACCTTAGAGAAATAAGAACTGAATTATCACTGTGGGTGGAACATAATGCAGTGCTTCAGGATGAACTGCAAGGAAGGTACTCGTCTTTGTGCAACATCCAAGATGAGATTGCAAGAGCAGGGAATGCCGAATCCAGTGGCGACCAGGCTGAGCTAATTAGCAAGTACCAAGGTGCAAAGTTTCAAGGTGAGATTCTCAACATGAAGCAAGAGAATAGCAAGGTTGCAAGTGAACTGCAAGCAGGTCTTAGCCTTGTGAAGGGAATGAAAGATGATGTTGAGAAGACACTTGATGAGCTAGATGAAGCTATTGGAGTTAATAGTATTATTAAAAAGAATACCGGCCAGTTGAAACATTCCAGTAGTCGTGTTCGAATACCCTTAAGGTCTTTCTTGTTTGGAGTCAAGTTAAAGAAACAAAGACATCATCCTTCACTATTTGCATGTGTCAACCCAGCATTGCAAAGACAAAACAGTATGAATGAACAAGCACCAGCTCCAATATAAATCAACCTCCACTATACCTATCAAGTACTTGGATTAAAGTCTAGATTATGTACTACTGTGATTGTGATAATATATACAAATTGAGTCATCGTGCTCTTATTAATTTCAAGGTTGATTTTGCTTTTAATTGCAGAATTGTGTTATTAATTTCAAGATTGATTTTGCTTTTAATTGCAAAATTGACAATGGATGAGTTCATGTGTATAAAAGTAAATGAATTTTTATTTTCATTTTAGCTTAACAATTGTATCTTTTGCATCTTTAGCTTCATAAATATAATATGCATGCAGTTTTAAATATAAAATTGTACATCTTTACAAATGATTTGTTGTTATATTATGACAAAATCTTTCATTACCAAGCATGATCAGTTTTTAAAATAGTAAGGGATTATTATTTTTAAAGATTAATAATAACTAAAACTAACACTAAACATTTTCATACCAAATAATTTGAAAAAAAAATCTCAAAGTGGCAAGTTACAAGGCATCCAATATCAGTTAATTTTTTTATAACGTATTGCATCATATATATTTTGCATCTTAATCAAATAATATTATTAATGCTTTAATTATAAGGTTAAATCCCCAAAATAACATAAATATTTTTTCTTGAATAAAATTAGCATAAAAAATATTAATATTTTTATCTTTTAGAACAAATTTCATTTAATACAGAAATATTTGAATTAACACATGAAAAAATATCTCACATGAATATAAATAATTAACTATAATTTTTAAATTTTAATTTAAAAACCAAAAATAAAAATAATTTTTACTATCAATATAAAATATATTTTATTAAGATTTTCCAAAACAAAATTGTTGCTGTCCTATATTTCCTTTGTTATGCTTCCAATTACTTGTTACTGACTCATTAAAATGAATTAACAATCTTCTTGTGAAGATTAAGAATAATCTAATATAAATCTTAAAAAAAAACAAAAAAGAATCTTGATAATAAAAGATAAATAATAATTTACATTATAAATTATTGATACATAGACTACTAAATTTAATTATTAATAATAATAAATTATGTCAATTAATGTTGGCATCCCTCCTCCTTATTGTGCTCCATCTCTGCAAATAAAATACATAATAAAATATTTATATAAATTACTAATTACAATTTTTAAATAATAATTTAAGAACTAATAAATAAAAAATTAAAATGTTTTTTTTAATATATAATTTCAATAATTAATAATGTTTATTAAAATTTAAAAATACCTTAGATAATTGTGAGGTACTTCTCTTAATAGGAAAGTCATCTCTTTTGATCATATTTGCCCAATTACCTTCACCCCATCTCTGAACTGCATCCCTTAATTGAATATCCTCTTGTTCTGACCACGGTTCTCTTTTCTTTTTTAGGGATGTACCTTCCCCAACCAATACATTTGGTAAGGTCTGTCTTTTGACTGTTACTGGAAAAATAATGTCTGAACGTTGGCTACTCGAAGTGGAGGAACCTTCTGAACTTTCCTGACCAGTAAGAGTACAGGTTGGAATATTTATAGGTAATGGAGCTTGAATCATTGAACTAGTAGGAGTGGATTCACTCATTTTATAGGATGCAGCAATTACCTAATTATTTAAGTAGGAAAATTCAAAATTTAGTAAGAATTAATTTTGATTAACTCAACAAAAGAACATATAATCTAAAGAACTATGATAAAAAAAATGAAATAAATGGTATATAACTTTTTAAAAATTCTAATATATATATATATATATATATATATATATATTAGAAAATATAAAAAAAATCTATAATGTAAAAAAAAAACGAGATAATAAAAAATAAAAAAATATTATTTATTCTTTTTCAAGTAAATAGAGATATAATCGATTATTTTTATTTATATAATTAATTATTTCTATTTTAAAAAATGTTTTTTATTATTATATTAATAAATAATTATATTAAAATAATAAATGATTTTATTTAAAGTTAATAAAATAATATTTTAATTAATCAAATCAATTTCATCTTTTTATAATCTTTTGTTTATTTATTTTTACTCTCTGAATACAAATAATCTTATTTTCTATTATTTTCTTTATTTTATTCTCCCTTAAACCCATCACCCATGTAATCCAACATAACATGAAGAAAGGAGTTATGGCAGATTAGGTTTATCGTGCTAATATAAGTAGATTTATATAATTTTAAATTTTATGATTTTCAAAACATAATAGGTAAAAATTAGAGAGAAAACAAAAAGTAATCGATCAAAAACTGTAACAATAATAATAACAATAATAAATTAATATTATTATTATAATAATAAAGTAAAACTTATTAATAATGAATTAAAAAACCGATCTACAGCCCATAGTTTATAAACAAATATAACCGATCAGATCAGATAGAAGTCCAAATGCTATATTTGATTTCAAAACAGCTATGACAAGACATTAGAACACTTCTTAGAGGTCTATTTTGATATTTTAATTTCCAAAAATGAAATATTCAATAATAATGGTAAAGAGAACTTGTATTTGACTTTTTGTTAGACTTATTATGACTTTTTATAGTTTATTATGAATGTCATTCAAGGTAACAATCTAGCAGTCTCCCAGTTTAGACTGAGGCTATATCGATTTTGGAGCCTCCTGCTGCGGGCATAGGGGATTTAAAATATTGATAACTATTAATTTAGAGTTAAATATTCTTAAGCTGAAAATAAACTAGACGAGCCTAATTCAATGAATAGTGTTATTCTTTTCCGAGTCCGATTGGGAAACAAAATTGACACAGAAAAATCCGAATCCAGACTACACAAAGCCTTCCTAATGAGCTGATGATAATAATGTGTTTGAGAATCAAATTCTAAATCCATTGTTTCGTCTTCACAATAAATTGAGCTAATACACTAGATTCCTCTTTCAAGTTAAATCATCATCTTTAAGAAAATATTATATATGCTTATGCTTCCAAATTTGTAATATTTGGTTAGAATCTGGAAAGTGTGCCATCAAACAAATATGTAATTAACTAAAACGATTACCGAAGGCACTACATATATCTGATAAAATATACTAATTTGGTAAATTATTACCCACCTGAACACATGCTGCAGCTTGTGTTGCAGTCTCCCTGTTTAAGTGGGGTAATGCTTCTCGTTCACACTCTATGTCACTGTCATCCTCCTGCATATAAATGAACGTATAAAAGTACAATACAAATTTAATAGTTTAATTAAAAGTAACAAATCAAACAAAAAGTAACAATATACGAAGAGAGACAGTATAAAACTTATCAGAGATACAATTTTCATTAATCTGCAAGTGGTGAACATCCATGTTGTTAACAACTTAACTATAGCAGCTACTACTTGATACAAGTAATCACTATTATCTTTATTTCAGAAAAAATGAATAAAATGTTTTCAGGTCATTGACATCAGCGGTAATGTGCATGCTGGGTGACGCTCACCTTTTAATATAAGCCCGGGTCTAGTGGTAGGGCTGTTAGGTAGTAGTCCCCAAGGATCGGAACAAGGAATATAAGAAAAAAATTTGAGATATAATGAAGACATTTGTGAAAATAAAATTCTGCCACCATCATTGCATGCCTTTAAATCTGATCAATTGCTTGGTAACACAGGAAAGGTAGACACTCACTTTCTGTTCAGAAGAAGGACTCTTAACTTTTCTTTGCAAAACAGTGCATACAAGCATACGACATGAATGCAAAGCAAAGCAATGCAAGGATTACAGGTATATCTCAGAAAACAATAAAGGTACATGGATGGAGAATAGCCAAAGAGACAAAAGAAAAGTAGAAGATGAGAGACAAAAAGAAGAAAAGAAAAAGTAAAAGAAGAGAATAAGGGACCCATTTTGTGATAAAAAAAGGTAAATGAAAAGGTGAGTATATATTAATAATAATAACTCAAACTTAACCTCTATAAATTATCGAATCACTTCACTGTCTCCTCCATTGCAGTGCTAGCTGATCAAACTAAAGCATAGAGAACAAATACCTAAATTATAATTAACCTACACTATCTTGCTGATACTCAAACAGTAGCATAGAGGAACAAATGCCTAAAATATAATTAACCTAAATTCCATTTAATAACAGAAACATACAGGAACGACTACCTACAATATAATTAACCTAGACTCTACCTGATCAAACATTAGGACAAAGGAACACGTACCTAACATATAATTAACCTAAACTTTATCTTTTTATTAAAAACAATAATAATACCGTGACATCATAATTTTTCCTTGGATGAAATTCATTACGTCATACAATGAATTCACACATTTCACAATTACGCATAGCTGCGAATAAATGCGAATGACTTTGAAAACTAGGGTTAAAAGTTCGATAAATCACAACAGGTTGCCGCTTGAAAACCAATAATGCAGAACAAAAAAATGCTGAAAACAAGAAACGGTATACACAGGATCATAGTTTAAACAAAAACACATTCACTCATAATTAAAAAGTGTACAAACCAAAGGTTGAGCGTCGTGGTCCAAAATTTCCATGGAGTGACCATACGCCAAATGCCGCCACAGCATCTGATACTCTCTAGCGTTAGAAATTCCCGTTGAGGTTTTGGCCACCAAATCACTCCAGTTGAACTTTAAATGTGGATAATTCGACAATTCCTGAAGCAACGTCAAAACAGTCTGTGCATCGTATCTGCACGATGTATTATGCAGATCAGCAATAAATATCAAAACCACATGAAAATAATTATATATATACATATAGAACGAAGGAATGAGACCTCTCCAATAGAGAAGCTGCGTCTTCTTCACTGAAAGGAATCTTGTTTTGATTTTTCATCTCTCTAATTGATGGAAGTTGCAAAAAAAAAAAAAAAACAGTTTCTCTCTCTACTCTCTCAGCAGTGGGTCACTCAATCTTCTGGGTTTCTATCTCTATCTCTACTGCCACCAATTTGTGCGCCTTGGATATATGATTCCGGATTTATATAACGGAAAAAGGGTGTACGGATAGTACAAGTGTCTTCCTTGGAGAAGGGAAAATTAGCATATTACTAAAATACCCTTATGTTTTACAAATAGTATTTATATTGAGATGTAATTGGTAAAAAAAAAATCAACATTAATGTACATTGATTTTGTTTTGTTAAAAATTATCTTTTATTTTAAAATTATAAAATATAACTTAAAAATTCATTATTTTTTTAATTTATATGTGCTTTTTAATATATTATTTATTTTAATGTTGCTTTTTTAGATATATAATTTATTTTTATTTTCATACCAACATTATATGTCATAATTTTGAAAAACAATATGGATATAATTAATAAAAAAGTAATACATGTAATTCTAAAATAATAAATAAACTCTACAAAAAGATTAGAAAAAAATATTGAAGTAGTGATTTTAAAAAAAAATGTTTAATAGATTTATGAATTTATGATTATTTGTTGAAACTTTTTTAACTTTTTTTTTCAATATATTGATAAATATCATAAAAATGTTATATAAATAAATATTTTGGTAAGAAATATAAAATTCATTTAACACTTTTTATAAAATAACCATATTTAATCATGTATATAATATGTATTTATGTTTGATTACAATAATAGAATAGTTAATAATTTAATTAAAACAATAATAATTTAAAATCGTTATTTTTAAAACAAAGTACTTGTTAATTTTTATTAAAAAAAAAAACAAAATGATTAAGATTTTATCAGATGTTCAGCATCTTTCAGGACAGTTTTTAACTTTCTAAAACTATATATCAGAATCCTTTGAATTATTGATTTTGTCTATATGTACTTATGTTTCACATAACAAATACCCCTAAAAAGTGTCAAATAGATGAAAGAGAATAACTATATATATATATATATATATATATATATATATATATATATATATATATATATATATATATATTTTAAGAGTATTTAAGAGTTAAGGAAATAGAAAAAGTAGTTGTTGAACAATTGAATCAAAATATCTTAAGTGTTTGTTTTAATCCATGTTTCTGGATGAATTTGATTTGTTTTTAAAAAATCTTGAACTTACATTTAACTCATGTAAAATAAGGTGATAGTTAACTTAATAAATTTACATTGCAAATAACAAAAAAATAATTAAATAAAAAATATTTTGGATAATCTAAATAACTATTAAATTTAGGTTTACACATCATAAAAATATAATTTTAATTAAAAAAGATGTGTTTTACATATTACAAAAGAGAAGTAATGTTAATTAACATAATGAAATATTTTTTAAGATTTAAAATTAAACAAATTAGACAACTTTAAGAATATTCTCAAACTATTGTAATGCTTTTCCATTAAAAAAGTGAGTATTGAACTGGATAAGTTTGAAAAAAATATATATTTAAAGTTCAAAACTATATTTCAAGAAAAAAGTTAAAAATGTGTCGTGGAATTAAAAAAAATACAAATTTAACATTATTAGATAATAAAAATAATTTTTTAATTAACAGAGGCTGTAGTAGAAAAATGATAAAGGATGAAAAACAATTTCATAACTTGCAATTGTCTTGCAATCTGAAACACAATACAATAACAAAAAATCTAAATATATAATTTTCAACAATCAAATGTAACAGTAAAAGGAGAAAAAATAAATTATCATAAATATCTTTAATTATGACATATTCCAAAATATTTTAAAAGTGTTAGCGTCAATTAATATTTATCAAATGAGAGAGAGAAAGAGAGACAAAGAATTGTTGTTTTACATGACAAATGGGAAAGATTCAAAAGCAAAACACCAAAAAAAATATTATCCTCTTTCAAATAATTGGTAATATGAATTCTGAGAAAGTCTTCCCACTGTTACTGATAAAAAGAGAGTGTAGTTCATGCAGAGAAACTGATAGTGTAGTTAATGTGTAGATGGACACTAATTTTAAATAAATGAGAATAGAATAGCAAATTGTGACGGACATCAAAACAATATATATGAATAACACTAAATTTAGAAATAAGAAACAATTCAGTATCATTGGTAATTACTAAAATCATATAATTTAGTGTATTTAGGTCAAAATACATATTTATATTGAATGATTGCTTATAATAATATATTCGCATTGATAGAAATATCCAATCTAAATAAAAACAAACTATTGTATTTAAGTTTAATTTTACTTTTGGTATGCCAAGTATTTTAGAACGGTTTGAGTTTAGTCCTCAAGTTATACTTGTATCAATCAGGTTTTTCAACTATTGCAATTATACAATTTTAGTCTTATGTTAGGCAATTCGCAAATTGACAGAGGAACTAAATTTAAAATATTGCAATATCTAGAGGACACAATTGATACAACTAAAACATGAGGAACTAAATAGAATAACAACATCATACCGTACGAAAAAAAATTCCTTGGCCAACTCATTGATCCTCTGAACTGCAAAAATTAATTAAGCAAATAACTAATAGGTCATGGAGTGGTGCCTGGAGACTAAAGGTGAAAATAGGTCAGACCACACTACAGGGATCCATAGTCAAGCTCATTTAAAGGCTGAAAGTATGTTGTGTTCACTCTTCATTTCTGTTCCACGAAGGGCACATGAACTCAGAATCCAGCATTACATTTCTGTTCTACCATTCAAGGCTTTCCAAGCAAATCCTTGAATTTTCACAGGGCCTCTCCAAACCCACTTGTCTTCAACCCCAGACCACCTAGCTCAAAAAATCATCTAATTCCCTCGCTAATTATTTTTCCCATTCAAACACACCTTCTCCACTTCCATCAGCTCATCTCCTTCTGTACATAATCCTCACCTTCTTCTCGTCAAACCTATCTTATTTAACATGTGCAAAAATTATGTAACATAAAACAAGAAAAATTATTGATTTATTTCATCAATCCATTACCAATCCCTACAACTATACAAGCCCATTGGAAATAACCGACTGAGACTTGTACGTGTTTCAAATCATCTATGAGGCTATCTATCAATATCCTAAAAATAATCCTAGTTCAAATATAATAATAAGAGAATATTAAGAAAATCATACAAATGTACACGAAAACAATTTGTTTTCACAGGAAATTCCAGCCTCCATCATTGGTGTCAGAAAACTCCGTGATAGAAGAGTATCAAATATCCTTCAACCCATCTTGAACTTAACAAACGAAATAGCAGAGATGTCACAATCAGACAAATGAATAGCCCGAAAATTTACCAAACATCCCTAAGATAACGTCCATCCATCTGAAGTTTTTTTACTATAGCCTCTGCTTTTGAAGAGTCCACATTTTCCTGAAATTAAAATTAAATTCAGAAACATATTGTACACATAGCTCTGAATAAAATGTTTCAATAAACTTTTATCATGTCATAAATGAAACTATGAAACTTAATAGAATAATTTAAAAAAAAATTGTTTTTAATAAACTTCACGAAAAGACTTACATCACTGAATAAGCTAAAAATAAATTATAGGAGTCATACAATACTTTAATAAGTTAAAATGAGTATTATACGCTCTTCCTAACATCCCCATATAGTGTATTAACTCTGAATGACATTGCAACAAAGAAGGTAGTTGGCACCGAATAGTCAGAAGAAAGGACATTATTTTAAATTTAATGTTTGGCAAAAGTTTTCATGTATACATAATTCAAAAAAGTCACTCCAGTGTACAGTATAAATATAAGATAGCGCAATTATATTTTGATAACCGGATATACAAAATACATCTATTAATCAGCCGTGTTTAATAATATAATGCAGACAGAGAGCATAGGCAACTACAGTAAACATTGATACGTAAGAGTCTAGCTGATGTTATTTTAGGTTGTTTACTGGTTGTATGGACCGTCGAGAAATCATTTTTTATCAAATTATACCTCTATAATAAAATATTAAATTGCATCACTAACCTCGTATATATTGGGATTTTTATCAACTCAGTCATTGAAGTATAACTGTATTCAATGATTGTGAGTGTTGTTTGTCAAAATTAAATAAGTATATACCAAAAGATTTTTATTTATAAGTATAAATTGATATAGAATTGATGTATAAGTATTAAATACTTTTAATATAAGATTTTGTAGATATCATTTATAAAAGGATAAGAACCCACTCCTATTGTGCTCATATCTAACCTAATATGATTCCTCTATCTCTCTCTCTCTCTCTCTATCTCTCTATCTCTCTCTCTCTCTCTATATATATATATATATATATATATATATATATATATATATATATATATATATATATTCACTCGTGTTAAAAATGACACCCCATATGCATGATTGGGAATAACAAAAGGCGACGCTTCCAAGATGGAAAAAGGCAATCAGCACCTGCTGCTGGACAATGGTATTAAGAGTCCTATGAACATCTCTTGCCATACCCTTAGCATCACCACAGACATAAAGATAACCTCCCCGAGAAATCAAATTCCACAAATTTGCTGCCTGCACACAGAAAATGAATGCAAAGAAAAAATTATCCATGGTGCAACCATAGTCTACAAGGTATGTAGCTAATGACACTTACTTTATCCATCATCTTGTGTTGAACATACTCCTTTTGAGGTCCCTCTCTCGAGAACGCTACTATCAACTCTGACAGAGCACCTTGTTCGACAAAATTCTTTAGCTCATCCTCATAAATAAAATCCTATAAACGGGAAAATCCCTCAACATTATGAAACTCTATTGGAATTAAATGCCCGCCGAATAATTGTTTTACCATTTGACGATTCCTACATCCAAAGAAGAGTAATGCGGGTCCAAGTTGAATACCATTCTCTTTGAGATACAATCTTTCCTGCGTAAGTCAAAGATGATGTAAGAAT